TTACAGGGTATTTGGTCAGAATATTTGTTTGCTAGCATTCAGCCTTTTCTCCTGCCATTTCTTCATGTCGTATGACTTTTCCTGGGGAGACATGAACAAATGTCTATTCACCCCAGTGTGTTGGCTAGTTTTATGTCAATGTGACACAAGCTAGACTTATCGAAGAGAAAGGAGCCTCAAATTGAGAAAATGCCTCCTTGTGATCAGGCTGCAGGCAAGCCTAGAGGGTGTTTTCCTAGTGATCGATGGGGAAGACCCAGCTCACTGTGGATGGTGCCATCCCTGGTCTGGTGGTTCCTGGTTCTATAAGAAAGCAGGCTGAGCAAGAGAAAGCCTGTAAGAAACACCCCCACCCCCCATGGCCTCTGCATCAACTCCTGCTTCCAGGTTTCTGCCCTGCTTGAGTTCCTGTCCTGACTTCCTTCAGTGATGAACAGAAAGCATAAGCCAAGTAATCCCTTCCCTCCCTAGATGGCTTTGGACATGACTAAGACACCACAGATAAGACACGGATGACTGACTAGAGAGAAATGGTTGCAGCTGAGTTTGTCTTGGTGAACCGGTGAGTTTATTAGGGTCACTTACAGACTTCTGCTCACTGTGACCCCACTGGCTCTTGGTAGTGATCCTTGAAGATTTGGCCTTGTTTCTTTATCAAAATGATATAGAACAACTCATGCCCGGTAATAACACTGTTGTGATGGTTTACCCTCTTGCCTGTTTCCTTCTTCCCATCCCTTCCCAGAAAGCCCGTCCCTCCTCAGCCCCGCCCCTTGGCTGTGCTCCACCAGGTCTCATGACTCTCAGGTTCCAAGGTACTGCTTAGGCCAGGTACTTTTCCAGCTGGCTGGCCTGCTCCCACCAAGCATGAACTAAATTAATTTAACTCTCAAATTCCTGAGATGCCCCACCCTCTCTTCTGAGTAGGTCTCAGATTAAAAAAAAAAAAAAATTCCACTGTTTACAAAACACTTCTTAGCCTGGCCACCCACAGACACAGAGATGACAGGCTGACTCTCAGTATGACAAGTGACCCAGAGAAGGAAGAGTGGCCCAGAGAAGAAAGAGTGGCCCAGAGAAGAAAGAGTGGCCCAGAGAAGAAAGAATGGCCCAGAGAAGGTCCTGGACATATTTTATGCTTATGTTACTTCTTGCAATGCCCTGACTGGTTTCCTACCTGCTTTAACTTAAAGTCTTTAAAAACGTATTTATTTTTATATTTATGGGTGTTTTGCTTGCATGTATTCCTGTGGACCATGTGCACATCTACAGAGGCCAAAATAAGTTGTTGGATCTCCTGAGACTGGAGTTACAAGCAGCTGTGAGCCACCATGTGGGTACTGGTTATCAAACCTGGGTCCTCTGGAACAAGTAACCAATGCTCTTAAAGGCCAAGCTATCTCTCCAGCACTGATGCTTAAAGTCTTTAAGAGAGCTAAAACATTCCAAAGTCCACAGTGTCATTTCATACAACTCTAAGCTAACCTAAAATCTATAATTCCTGTTGCATTTATTTTTCCATCCAGTATTTACATATTTAAAATTAAAAGTTTCTCCCAGCCACTGTGGCACATGCCTATAGTTCTAGCACTTAGGAAGTAGAGTTGAGAGGGTCACCAGATGGAGGCTAGCCTTGGCAACATTGTGAGTTTGAGACCTGCCTAGGTTGCCAGGACATTCTGTCTCAAATATAAAATAACAGTAAAACTTAAATTGCATTAAAAGATTGGACTGTTGGTGGATTGGTTGAGTAACTGATGGCACAGCCATTCACTGAAACAATACAGCCATTATGAAAATGAAACTATTGGTCTGGTGAGGCTCAGTAAGGAAGGGCAGCAAGATTCAGAACAGCCTGTAGAATTCTCACATTTGGATAAAAGGATGAGAAGAAACAAGGAACCCAGCCATATTGCTTGTGCACACACAAGGCATCTTTGGAAAGATACACACACACATATATGGCATAATATTTTAATTTTGAGTACAAAGAAATTGCTGAGGAAAGAGAATTTTTTCTACACAATCAAGCTTTTCATATATTAAAGCACATGAACTTCCTTGTCCAGATGGGATGGGGTCTAGAATCTTCGATTTATCCTCAATTATATATAGTTATATACACCCATAAATGAATATATGTATGTATGTATGTTTGTATGTATGTATATACATTTATGTCTATGTATTCAAGAGCCATTGAAAGGACATTGAAAGAATAAAGGGACTATAGCTACAAGAATGACACCAGTTAAAAATAAACTTAACTTAAAAAATTTAAATGTGAGCAAAAAATGGCCATTTGATATATTTTGGAAGATGGTTAGTCCATAGGATGGATTACAAAGAGGCTTCCAGTCTTCACTTGAAGTTCTATATGTGTGCTTCATTTGCATTTTTCATTGTTTACCTGATCATGTTTCAGTGATAATAATAATATAGTTCTAACTCACACCTACTGTGTTTCTGTGTGCTGTTTACTGTATAGTAACATTTTTAGATATTATCCCATTTAATCTGCAGCCTGAATGGGTAAGTGTGTGTGTGTGTATATATACATGTGCATGTTGCATGTAGCAGCCAGAGGAGACTGTCAGATATTTCTGCTGTATTTCTTTGAGGCAGAGTCTTTCGTCACACTGTGCTAGGCCGACAGGCTTCTAGAACCTGCCAGTCTCTACCCTTCACCCTCTCCAGCGCTGGAGCTACAGGCATGCCCAGGTTTTTCCATGAGTGGGATTTGAATTCAGGTTCTTGTGCTTGCATAGCAAATACTCTGACCCACTGAACCATCCCCCTAGTTGTACCCCACAAGGAAGGTGGACTCTCCCCCAGCTGCAGGCGAGGAACCCAAGGCTTGGAGAAGTGAAGTCCTGTTCCCATTGCCTGTATCAACTCAGAAGCCACTGATTCTGGATTTCTAATGTGTCGATGTCTGGCTTGTTGAAGAATTCAGGCACTTCCTGCTCATGCTTACCATACTCGGGTTCTCTCTCTCTCTCTCTCTCTCTCTCTCTCTCTCTCTCTCTCTCTCTCCCTCCCTCCCTCCCTCCCTCCCTCCCTCCCTCTTTCTCTGCTGGGTTATATGTATTTTGCAAGAGCTTTGGTGTGCTTTCATTGCAAGGGCTCAGAGTAGCTGTATCTGGCTTCAGGGATCTCCTACCTTCCCATCAAAGCCAGGCTAAGTGTGAGTCCAGACAGGTCAGCCCAGGGTAAAAAGGCTAGAGCCCCTCCCTTTCTAGACCAGAAGTTTGCAAGGATGAGTGGACTTCCTCCTGCCAGCTCAGAGAAAGCAAGGGTGACTCACAAAAGCAAATGTCTCTTGTATCTGCAGAGGTCCAAAGTCACCCGAGGAGGGAAGAGGGAAGCCAGCCAGAGAGTGGATGAAGAGCTGGGAGACACATGCAAACAAGGCTGGCCCCCAGTGACCTGGAAACCAAAGCACCTGCCTGAAGGCTGGGCTGGGAGAGGAAGAATCTAGCTGAAGCTGGTAAGGAGTTGGAGAGGGTGGAGCAGGTGGTGGTTTTTGGTGTGAATTCTGACCTAGGAGGCAGGCTCCTGGGTCAGTGTTCTAGCTCCGCCACTCTGGCTCTGAAGCCGATGGCCAAATCACTTTACATCTGAGCCCGGGTTTCTCCACCTACCATATGAGCATTTACAGAACCATGCTAACTTCTGTACTGACCACCCAATGTGGCACACTGGGGGCGATTCCTTCCTCACAGAAACAGTATGAAGGGGTCACAGGCTTCCTCAACAGAGGAAAGTGGAGTTCAGAGAAGTGAAGCCACTGATTCAGATCAGCAAGAGTCTTGTTTCAGATTGGTGAGACTTTTTACTCCCGTCTAGTCTTGTTTCTGGGTTTAGCCAATCAAATGGCCTCATAAAAATGGAAACAGTTTGTAAAAAGCAAGGATGTTGTGTTACCACACACAGCTTCTAGCAAGAGCCAACCCGTTTGGAAAGCCAGAAAGTACCGTCAGAATGCCAGTTTTCTATGCCTGCTGTCAGCATGTTGAAAACATGGGGGGTGGGCAGATGCTGCAGACAAGTTTCTGTTAGTGATGGCTGTAGGGTGGTGTTTAGAATTTACTGTTGCTGAGTTGTTCTGCAGGAAACTGGGGCCATAAATCACTGGTGTTTCCTAGAGACACTGAACTCTGTGTAGTGGGTGCCTGAGAGAAGTGCCTCAGATAGCGACCCAAGCAACAGTTACCATCTTTTTTTCTCTTTTTAATTGGGCATCCATTTAGAGCTATAGTGGTGGGACTCCAGAGTCTGTAGGTCTGAGCTAGGGTGATGAAGGAAGATCTTTAAGGACAGTGAGACAAGTTTACTGGAATAAAGTTAACATTTTCTTTAAAAAAATGATTTAGTTTTATTTGATTTAGTTTTTTGTCTGTGTGAGGATGTTGAACCCCTGGAGCTGAGTTACAGACAGATGTGAGCTGTAACGTGGATGCGGGGAATTGAACCCAGGTCCTCTGGGAGGGCAGCCAGTGCTATTAACCGCTGGGCCATCTTTCCAGCCCCAAAGCTAACATTTTCAAGTAATAGAATTAAAAACAAAGGCTCTAACAATAATCTAAATTGATGACTTTGCCCACATTGATAACCACTGTTGACATTTAGTTGTTTCTAGGAGTGCTAGCACACACCATTAAGTCTAGAACCTGGGAAGCAGAGGATGGCAGAACACTGAGTTTGAGGCCAGCCTGGTCTACATAGATTCAGACTAGTCAGGGCTACATAGTAAGACCCTACCTCAAGCAAGCAAGCAAACAATGAAACAAACAACAAAAAGCCATTTGGTCGTTTATCTTTCCAGAGATATTTTTCCATAGACCAATGTGTTTTTCAAAATAGATTATATTGTGATTGTCCTGTCATTGATTCTTTAATACCTAATAACATTATATCCTAGACACACTCCATACTAAGAAAGGTTCCATCACATCATTTTAGTTACCTTGGGATTTTTTTTTTTTTTTGGTCTTTTT